CTTATTAAGTTTATCTTCTTATCACCAAATGAAGTTACCAAATACATAAACATATTAATAATAGCTAAGCACAAAGAGGCATGGAAAAGGTTAGTGTCAAACTTATACATTTGATTTAGTGTTAAAAAATACATTTTAAGTAGTTAAACTTTGTTAGAATTAACATTTTGAATCACATTTAAAGTAATTAATATTTTCGTTAAAACTTTGTTAATCCTCATTTCTACAAGCAGTAATCACAGAACGACATATCAGCGTGTGAGATGATGACAAGTGTCGTAACATAAGTTGACCGGAGAGATTAATGAACGGTTACTACGACTTGTGGCCGGTGAAGTTGGGTCCCACATTTCCTCATGCGCGTGCCTTTTTCTGATGATTCTCGCCGAAGAAAAGGTCCACCGAATCTGGGCCGTTGGATTTACTTAAAGGGCCCACGTAGTGCGTGGATAGCATCTTTGAAATTGCGGTCCATGTCAGCGCGTGTGGACAAACCCGCACCTTAACAACTTGCCATCGTTGTGACAAAAAAAAAAAAAAAAACTTGCCATCAAAATGCAAAAAACTTGCAAACATAACAACTTTAACCAACAGTGTATTTCTTTTTCTCGAATATTTGGACGCTTTTTTATTTGGGATAAGGGGTTGGAGTAATTTAAGTATATAAAATTATTGTTCAAATTGTATTTTGAAAAAAATGGGTGGGGTTTAAAATCACTATTGACTGGATATCAATCGGATTTAGGTTCTTTTGGTAATTGCGGACACTTTTGAAAACATTAGCATAACATTTTTTTTTTTTTTTTTTGTAAGGAAGTTATATTCAGGAGAGGTACATAAATTTCAAATGTGATCCTTTTTTTTCTGTTGAGGAATGTGAAATTAGTTGAATTTTATTATTTGCCTGTTAGCAAAATCTGTAAAATTATTTTCCGGCAGAAAACTATACTTCGTGTTCGTGGCTTGGTGCTACGTGGAAACGAATAATACTTTTGACGAGTAGTAGATTTCTTTGTTTGTAGAGCGTTCTGTTCTTTAAATTCATCAACATTTGGATACTCCACACTCCACAGTAGTAGTTCGTGGAAATGAATCCCATTTGGATACTCTTAGGCTTTGAGGAGACTAAAATATTCGACCTAAAGCCCATAATGGTTAATAAACTTTATAGTAAATTTCACTGTTTGAAAAGATTATTGCATAGCGGATCCGACTCTCAAGTTTTAAATTGTATCATCCACTACACATACTAAAACAAAGGCATCATTAGCAAAAGAAAACTACGGGACTTTGAGGGCCTAAACTTATTTGGACTTCTTACCTGGACCAAGAGCTACGATTAGCAATCTGTTTAAGGCCCACTCTTAACGGGCCTATATCACCGAACAACTCTCAAATCTCAATCCAGCTTAAAATGTGAAAATGTATCGCACGTGTAAACTATTTTGCGTTACAACTAACATGCTAGGTAGAATATTATATTTAACACATACGTTACAGGAGAAAGCGTTTCAGAAATCTTCAGCAATGCCAAGTTTTATCATGTCAATTTTGGTACTTAATTATGTCTATGTCAATTTGTATTTTTCAGCTTATATAATAAGATACCTTAGGCTACAATGTTTGCTCTCAAATCTTAATATGAATGCTTTGCAGTAGCTTATCAATGATGGGAGTTTGAACGCATTGAAGTAAGATAAATTTAAATCTTCAGTAAGATGTTAATCGTGTGAGTCTTTAGCCCCATCCATTATTATTTTAAGAAGTGTACTTCTTAGAGGTTATTCTTTAGCCCCATTCTTTCCCTATGATAATCAAGCAATTTGTTTTAGATCTTGTAAAAAAATAATAATAACTAGATCATAGTATATATATATATACTTTTTTAAATAAGCATATAGACAACAAATTTTAACAAAAGGTGAAAAAGCCAAATTTGAAGTCAAGAACATGGAAGCATGAACAAATTTTGCATTTCACTAAAAATATTTAACATGCATGTGGAAAAACTAGTCAAATTAAGTTTTCAAACTTTATAATTAATAAAAATAAGCACACAGACAATAAATTTTAACGCAAAAAAAAAATTCAAATTTGTAATTGAAAACATAGAAAAAAATATATGTAAATTTTTATAATATATATAAATCTAGATCTTATGTAGAAGAGATCAATCGTCTTCCACATTTTTGACTTGCTACAAGCAAATCTATATATGCTACAAAAATAAGCTAACTCAATATATCAAAGTGAAAGGTGAATCGTGGAAACTGAATGAATTGAGATATTCCAAAACACCAGATAACATGAATCTCTCAAAGTTTTTGGAGGTATATGTACTTGCAAACCACAACTTTCAAGAAATCTTTTCGTATTTGGCAACAAAGCTAGCTAACGACGAAACCAACCAAATAGATCCGTCATCATTCCAGCTTATGTTCGAGTATAGCAGACTCACAAACCCTTACAAATGAAGGACTATCGGTGTTTTACTGCTTATGATAAGTCAAACATGATTGAAACTTTTTTGCTTATTATTTTACGTTTAAAGATATATTTTATTTTAATCTCAAATCAGTTCTGCCATCATATGTGACCTTTAATGATTTGTTTTAGAATTTTGCTTGTCTCGGCTACTCTTACCACTCCACTAGAATGTTAAGCCCATCGTTTATAATATTGATGTCTCAATTGGTTGGTCGGTTACTAGTGCACGTGGAATGAGAGATATAGGTTAGCTACGAGGACTTGCGTTGGAAAATTCAGGTTACTTCTTTAGGTCATACAAATTATTCACCTTACATAAAGGATCACTAGCAGTTAATCATGATTACACATTGAAGTAAGATAAATTTAAATATTCAGTAAGATGTTAATTGTGAGTCGTGACGCTTTGTTCAGATTTGTTCTCGTCTCCTTCGTCATGATGATGACCACTGCATCCATTATTATTTTAAGGAGTGTCATTCTTAGAGGATATTTTTTAGGTCTATTCTTTTTCTATGATAATCAAGCAATTTGTTTTAGATATTGTAAAATAAAAAATAACTAGGTCATTCTAAGAAAAAATTAAAAATAAGTATATAGACAACAAATTTTAACACAATATGAAAAAGCCAAATTTGTAGTGGAGAACATGGAGAGAAACATACATATCTGTTAAAAATGAATAAGTTTTGCATTTACTAAAAATAATTAACATGCATGTGAAAAAAATAGTCAAAATAAGCTTTTGAACCCTAAATTAATAAAATAAGTATACAAGTAACAAAATTCTAAGCAATATATATATATAAAAAATCAAATTTATAGTTGAAAATATGAAAATAAAAATATGTAAACTTTTATAACACGAATCTAGATCTTAGATAGAGTAATCAATCGTCTCCCGAAGTTTCGGCTCGCTACAAACAGATCTCCATCTGCTACAAACATGAGCTAGCTCAATAACAATAACTCCAAAATCCTAGAAAAATGTCACTAATATGTCACGGTCTAACTCAGCCCATCCCCTCTCTCGACATGCCCTAAGACTGGAAACAGAAAAACACAATCGATCTTCATTTGTGTTTATAAGAAAAGGCTTCCGTATAATTCTTACTGAAACAGTTGATAAACAGAGTATTTGAAATACCATGAAAAGCAATAATCCTAGTAAAATGAGGAACTGAAATGGAAGAACATAAAACGAAGTAACCTATACAAACTCGATAATTATATAATCTTCTACTGCGTATTGATCCAAAATATACGATATTTATAATTATTATAAGCAACTACTGGTTGAACAATTGTTCAAAAAAAAAAAAACTACTGGTTGAACAAGGTCTTAGATTTAGTTCATAACCTAAATAAATAAAACCATCACTGTTAGTTATTTGGGCTTCTTATTTTTAAATTATAACCTTGTTCAGAGTAAGATATAGGTCCGTCAAGGGTGGGCCTTAAACAAATTACTAATCGTAGCTCTTGGTCAGGTAATATCACCGAACAACTCTCAAATCTCAATCCAGCTTAAAATGTGAAAGATGTATCGCACGTGTGAACTATTTTGCGTTACAACTAACATGCTAGGTAGATTATTATATTTATAACACTAAAGTGATCTTAACACTCACTAAGTATGTTACATTGTTGCTTGTTCAACCCTTAGCCCTTTCTCTTTTATGTAATGATTAAAACTCTACAAGGACGGAGCAATTTGATGGCGCACGAGAGTTTCTTTTTAAGAAGTGAAAACCCCTGGCGCATGTTAGTAGGGTATCTTTTACAAAAAAGAAAAATAATAGAGAGAGACCCACGCGCAAAAGTATTATCATGCGCCATTTTATATGGTCCTAAATCTTAAAGTACTCCCTCTACCCGATTCCTTATCTATCTTTTTTCCTGAACTTTTTTTCTTTCTCATTTTCTTTGTTAATTTCTTCAACCACATCCATATTGTTTCTTTTATTTTTATCGCTATACTATTTCTCCTTCTTTATCTTAATGAACATTTGCAGAAAGTCAGCATACTATAAACATGTGTATACTGCATAAAAAAAGACATAAAAAATTGAATTTCCCCTATTCTTCAAGAGTTACTACTAAAGATTTAAATAGAAAAGCAAAGGCTAACTAATCAATGTAAAGTGCAAACTCATTATTAAAAGAGATCAACATCCAAATAGCATCACACGTAACAACAAAACAGTGATGGAAAGCCAGAACTTTTTAGTTATCACATGGACATATGAATGAATAGTCAATGTCAAAAAGAACAAAAGTAACGATAAGAGAGAGGGAGAGAAAGATCCCACGGATCTGACCAAATGGGTTAATCACAACAACTTATCAAAAGATTAGTATAACTTCGGAGCACTTTCGAAACTAATGATTGACAATATGATTTCCCACTTAACTTTAATATCTTAATTTTACTAGTATAATAGTCCAAGTTGTGCTTTACATCATGAATACTTAATTTTTTTAATCAAATTAGAAATATTCGAAAAGAAAACTTAAAATCTCATATACTAATATAATAACTACGTATAAACAAAGGCTATTAAATACATCAGCTTCGCATTAGTAGTATAGAAATAGAACACTTGTTGTATAATTATCATATCTATATGTTTACAAGACTCTTGATAGCACTATAATATTTTTCTAGGGGTATTAACTAAACTTTATAATATTTTTCTCATCTATTAAGATTTTTCAATATAATATTTTCCTAGGGTATGTAATATAAGATAATTAATGACTTCATCTTTTTTTGTTCTCTTTAGTTAAGTGGGTCGAAGCCGGCCTTGGAATGTTGAGTTACCAGAATCTCCGACGCAGCCCATAATTTGGTAGCTTCGGAGGAGCTGGATCCGAGTCCCGACGGCGTCGTTTCATTACAGTCCGTAAAGTACTTTCCCGATACGTTCACCAAACTTGGATTAGTTGCCACGTAGCACGTCGTTGCTGCTGCCTAACACCATGCCAAAAACAACAAAATAGCACATAAATCCAACAATCCTAAATTTAAAAAAATGATTAACAAACAAAAAGGTAGATTATCCACCACAGATTATGTTACAACAAGTATAATTAACAAAAAAAGGATATAACAATGTATTACTTGAGAGACGGTCTTAAGGAGCTTGGAAGTCAAGAAGAATACGAGATCTGAGTAGGAAAAGACAAAGGAAAATCATATAGACATAGTTAGGAGGAATCTTAATCATTATGGATATAATAAGTTAAGACAAACCAAAATGCTAATATTAGTGAGAAAAAAAACAAAATTAAGATAAACCAACCTGTCAATAAGCCTTCCCGGTCTCTAGTTAACCGAGTTTTAACGACCCCTGGGTGTACGCAGTTTACGGTCACGTTCGCTCCAATTTTCTGCAAATTTTATTTTCCATTAAGTTATTAATCTTTAATCACTTTATTTTAACCGCCCACATGATGGTCTTAGTCGGTCAATAGTCAAAATAAAATTGTAGTGTGACTTCTTCACTAACTCTTTTCATAGATTTGGTTAGAATACAAATCATAGTTATCTAGGTTTCTTGTTGTCCCTTTCCCATACCTTTCACCTTTCATTTACACTCAGAAAATCAATAAATCCTTTTTACAGAAATTGGACCATTATTATGACACATTATTAATTTCTACCATAATGCTTCTAGTTTATTTTTCATAGAATTCTTTAATTTTTTTTGTGAGTAATTAATTGGAATGTAAATGAGAGAGAGAGGGAGAGAAAGAGACCTGGAGTCTAGAAGAGAGCTCCTTGGTATGCAAAACGTTGGCAAGCTTCGAGAGAGCATACGCACGTGTCGCATCGAATTGACTAATCGATCATCCATACACATTTAAAAAAAAAAAACAAATTAGAACTATTACATTTCCAAAGGTCAAAACTCTTTACTTCCTTTTCCCATTTATTACCCCACTCTATCGACTTACTGTCCACTCATCAGTCGGAAATTTAACAGCTACGCAGCTTTTTCTGTAGGTAAAAAGTAATTTCCTCAACATTTCTTTCTACCCTCTCAAGAAACCAATCCTATTCTCTCATTTATAGTTCTACCTATTGGAACCTTTATATTAATCGTAGACATGTTTGTTCATTTACTTTCTCATTTTAACATTCTTAAAGACATAAAAACAAAAACAAAATCTTACCACTTGGGTTGAGAAATCAGCCGGAGATATTCGATCAAGTCGCCGGTAAACCAGCCGTGAATGCCCGACGTGACGTTAACGATCCTTCCTTGAACTCCTGTTTCCTCTGCCGTTTGAATCATCTTCTTTAGCAACAGATTGGTCAAGAGAAAATGGCCTGATGAAAATTATTTTTTAAAAGGTTGTTATCAATTAAAAATATTAACTAAGAATGGTATTAACAAAAGGAGAAAATATTAGTATAGTGGGTAATTAAGATCTGTCATAGACTGAGGGGAATCGGATTAAGAAAATATTACCTAGATAATTAGTAGCAAATGTCATCTCGATCCCGTCTTCGGATATTGCATGTTCATGTGCTAATTTGCCTGCGTTGTTTCTGATTCGACATTTGTATAAAATAAGAAATCAGAGAGCAGATAATATTTATAAATCAATTCCGACTCAAATAAAAATCAAAAACTGATTTGATGTTCTATTTACATAAATTCCCAGAAGAAGCCGCACGTATGTGTATATATATATATATACATGCATACAATATAAAGCAGATGCAATAAAAATGAAATTAAGCTTTGGTTTAAGTCTCATGCCGTTTGTATTAAAAAGCAGATATATACAATATAATATAATCAACATGAATTTTCAGGAGAAGATTATATAAAAAAAAAATTAATGGCGGAAAATGTTTTAGGAAGAATTTGCCTTACATGAGAAGATGAAGAGGCAGATCGAGAGATTCGAAATCGGCGACGAAACTCCGTACGGAAGAGATGGAACTGAGATCAAGCTCCATAACGACGATCTCCGTTTCCGGAAACTCAGAGACGATCCTCCCTTTCGCTTCCTCCGCCGCTTTCACGTTCCTCGCCGGAAAAATCAACCTCGCTCCTCGTTTCGCCAGAACTCTCGCCGTCTCCGCTCCGATCCCCGACGTCGCGCCTTCACCAAATCAATCAGCAACAGAAAGATAAAAATGAGATTTTCCGACGGATCTAATCACCGGAAAACTCGAACAACAAAAAAAAACTCACCGGTGATTATCGCTGTGGTGGAACGAAGGTCGCAGTTCTCCGTTACCTCATCGGCGGTGGATTTAGAGCCGAATCCGCTAGCACCGGCGGCGCCGAGAAGATACCTTCCAGTCTCGATCATTTATCTCTCCGTCTGCGTTTTTTCTGATCTCGGCGAATGTTCCTTCACTGACGAGTCTTTTCTTCACTTCTCTCTTTTTCGAATTAATTTGGAAAAATTTAAAGCCACAAACAAAAAACAGAAAGGAGAAGAAAACAAAAAAGAAGAAACGTATTTGCCGTTTTCAGTTACGAGGGTAGAACGGTAAAATCAAATATCCTCAGAAAACTCTCTGTTTCGCTTGTCAGGTTTTTGTAAGCAACGCCGCCTGGCAAGCCTGAGAGTGATATGAGAAGAAATAGTAATGTGTGTATTTATAGTCAACTTTGATTGATAAAGTAAAACAAGTAACATCCAACTTTTTTATCGAAAGCATCGGTAAAAATATTAAATTATCATTCTTGTACTATCTTTCTGTTTTTAATTAATTTTGCAGTGGTAGACAGTGATATGGAGTATATATATTTATAGATATATATATATTTAATATGATATTATTTGTCAACAATGTTAAACAGTATTTAGATTTTATATTTATTTCAAGATCATTTAAATATTTTTAAACAACAAAAGCAATTAAAATTATTAATTCAAAAACAAAAATAATTTCTTGTAGTTACATAAATATTAAAACCAATGATATTAACATCTTAATAATAGAAAATTTTACTTTTAGATTTTTAGATTTTTGATATATAAGGTTCAAGTAAATTCAAAAAGATCTAACTAGAATTGGCAAAAAATATAAACTATTCAACGGAAATTTTACATTTAAATTATTAATTCAAAAGCAAGAATAATTTCTTGTAGTTACATAAATATTAAAACCAATAATATTAACATCTTAATGATAGAAAATTTACTTTTGTAAAACAAGCAGAAAAACATTTTAAAAAGTCTATCTCTAGACCCCAAAAAAGTCAGCTAAATACTATCCATTTCAAGTACTTCCTAATTAAGCAGCAAGAGTTTTATATTTAGATTTTTGATATATAAGGCTCAAGTAAATTCAAAAAGAATTAACGAGAATTGGCAACAAATATAAACTATTCAACGGAAATTAAAACATATCCATGCTGTAATGTGAAACAAATCATCAACTTTTGGTATGGATTAATTTGTTACTATCATGTGGGTTCTTGTTATTATCATTTTTAATATTATGTCCCTTACTGTATTGATGATTAATATATAAAGATATTTGGGTCAAACCTAGTTAATTATTTGTATTTGAATTAAGCAATTAGCTGTCAGTCTCTGATTCGGATATAAATAAATTAGTTTGTTTCCTATTCTCCATTACTGAATTTCAATTATAACGAGCTCAGTAAGAACTTACTAATCAAATTACCAACGCTTATTTTTCTACATCAAAAACTATTTGAAGGGAACCTAATAAAAAAATGGAAAAGATTGTCGTAGAAGGCAAATATTAACGGTCAAAAGGCCTAAGGTTTGACTCACTTGTAGGAGACAATTATACAATCGGTGACGTATTAGTTGTTTACTTGGTGTCACTCATTAACTCATTATTCTATCCTCGTTTACTAATCCTCAATTAAACAAATTAATCATATCTTCTTAGTGTGTGACTGTGTGTGTAGTTAATAATTTTTCCTCTATCAATCTTGGAATAAACGCTGGTATCGGGAGTAACGGAAACGATAGTTTTTTAATCAAAATTTTTTTTAAAAAAGTTTATGGAATAATGAATAATCTAAAGTAATTCTACTACCACTAGTTTACTGTTTACAAGTCAATAAGTAGTGGCATCTTAAAATAACAGTGCTGAAAAGTTTGTCAAAATAGAAAGAAAAAAAAATGTTGCGATAAACGGAGAAACAGTTAAAATTCTATTCAAACGCGGTTAGGTTAATTGAGTAAGTTACTATGGATTCGAGTGAAATGGATTTTACGTCTCAGAAACACTTTCATAAAATTTTGTCAAAACGTGCGTATATAATATAGACTATACCGTGCGGATAAAGAAACGAGAAGGTACGAAAAAGGAAAAGATTATTAATGAATGACATTCGAACTACATTTTTGTTTTACAAGCAACACAAAGGTTAACTTGGTGACAAAAGTGAGACGGCGAGTAGTTGAAGCGGTATATGTGAAAACGGCAGGAGAGGCAATTAGGGAAGTAGCATGTAGAATCATAAAAGAAGAATCTTACAAGAAGGTTTACGCACGTGAGGATTACAAACTGCGTGCTGGATCGCTCCTCCTCTCCCTTGGAACACGGTCATCGATAATTTATTTAATTTGTTTACTAATTAGCTTGGTGTTTAATTATTAGCGATCAATCATTTTACAATAATTCAATGTTCATCATGTCTCCGTAACATCCAATACCATTTTTTTAAGGCATCTAAATTGTTATCTTACTTAGTTTTTGTGAGGATTCAGCCAATGATTACGTTCGAAAAAACTTGTTGATTACAAAGTTCACATGCACCTCTCACGAATGAACATCTTTAAGAGAAACAAAACCTTAAAATATAAATAAGACAGAGTGTCTTACAAATTCAGCTAACCGGTGTTCGCAATGCATACGGGTGCTTTTAGAGAAATAAAAATGAACTGAATCTGATGACGGTTATATCGGTATTTTGTTAGAAATTAACTATTTTCAATGAAAGTCTTGAATTTTGTCTTCTACCCTTTCCTCTAAAATAATTATAAAGCAAACATCTTATTATTAAACTGTAGAGAATCAATCGAATGAACACATTTCCTTAAGTTTCATATTCCATTCAACTTTATCACGTTAGTATATACACACCGGTCGTTTAATATCATCCCATTTATTTTTCTTGTGTCTACCATGTGGAACTTACGGGTTTCATCTCTAAATTCACTAAAATCGAATATTCCGATAACCTTTGAAACACATTCAAAAACCATAGAACTTATGTATAGAGCTTTCTTAATTTTTGTTTCACACATCCGAGAGCTTCATGCTATATGTTCACTTTCATATAAAACATAGAAACAAACTACAAATAGATAATGAGCAATGCAAAGCTTCTCCTTCTTTAATTTTGTTGTTGTTGTATTGTCCTTGTTGTCTCTTGAGTACTAGATTCCAGCTCATTGACATGTTGGTAGCTCGATTGAGCTTATCCGAAAGTGAGCCTTAGTGAATTTTGAACTCTTACTCTCAACCAGTGTTACCGACTTTTTATTTAATTTATATGTGTTGAAAATATTCCATTTGATATAGTAGTGTCTTCGAGTGCTCTAGTTTTGTCAGAGAGAACTTTACGTATAAGATACATTTTGCTTCGATAGTTTTATAATCCAGTAACCTAGTTTTGGATTAAACTATGAATTTTGTTACTTCAACTTTTTGTTCTAAAATGTCAAGTTATGCGGCTCATAATATTAACCAATCACACTTGTGACCAGAAAAAAAAAAGATGGTTAAAATAATAACTTTGCTTTCTTCAGTTTAGTTATTCTCATTCACCAAATATACGTTTTCTTCTTATTAAAACATAGTGATATTTAGTATTCAAACTAATAAAAGCTTCTAAACTAAAATAGTATCAAACCGTTATACTTCATACTACTGTATTTTTATTTATATCGTCCCTAATCTCGTTAGTTTTGACTTTTTACAATACTAAAATACTGCCAACAAGGTAACCCATATAGTAGTTAAGTACTATTTCATGGTATAGTTCCCCGCCAAGTTATTGAACTAGTATTTCTACTGTTTAATATATTAACTATAAAATGATACTAGAAGATAAAATCGCTTTTACAAGTCATGGAGAGAGTCTCTACAATTACATATATGCATTAGTTAATGTAAAATTTGGTATACACTTATGTCTTCCTTGGATCAATAGTTTGTTTTGCTGTGTCTATATAAAAAAATATTTTTTCGTAAAGGTCGATTAATATATATTACGTAAGTTAACGTAGCCAAAATATATCATCTGTGCATTTTATTTCCGGAAAAGTTGTTATTACGAATCCTATTGTTCACTTTCAATATTCTCTTCAGAATGATGATGTGATAAATAATATGCGTAGTTATCTAATTAGTTATCAATATGATTATATAGTATATTCTACTGAATTTAAAAGTACTTTTTCTACTGTTTTCTATGATGAATATTCTTTTCTGGCTTATGCGTTTCTCTTTTATTAAAAAAAGGTAAAGTTCCTCATCATAGCGAATGGAATGGCGTCTTCCTTATCAAGCGAAAAGGTGTCATGGGACAATTTGTGGTTACAAGAATCAATCATATAACACAAAGCTGACACAATATAAATTGATTAATTAGTGGTAGAAATTAAAAAAAAAAACATTAAGAAATACTGCTTCCATATATATCCAACATTCATGAAGGATAATAGCTATTACGTACCATTCTTCACACTTTCATGCGTTCTTATGTAATGATTTGGTTAACTGTTTGAGCTTTAATATAAAATTATATGATAATTTGATTGGTTAATCATGAAATCGTACATTACAAGACTCATATCTACATGGGAAGGAAGCGAAACAGCTAAAATACAAATATTCAATACCTAACAGTACTCATAGTTTAGCTCCTACGTTCATAGATCATTCGTATTTTCACCTACGGAAAAATTTAAGAAAAAACATTTTTATAATATTTAACCGAATTAAGTATTAATTTAGTGTTTGGTTTTAGGTTTACATGTTAAATTATTATGTTTTACCAACTGAAAACATCTTTACCAACAAAAATCTGAATATATGATATTTTAATATTTTTAGCGAACGTTTTGGAGAATGACAATCGCATATGCAATCGCACTGTTGCATTTGTGATGCAATATGATTAAAATAAAGATTAGGGTTTTTATAGTGTAAGAAAAATTATCATCGAAACAGTGCAGCTATGCTAAAGTGATCTGTAACAAATCAACTAATCGAACAGTCCTTATTTTTATTACAAGACGGTTATTAAAGAAAGGTAGATGGTTTTTTATTTCCAAATTTAAACATTTTTAAGTTTGACTAATGAGAAAGTGCACATGGGCTTATAACCAAAATGAATTTTGACTAGCGGCAAACCAATCCCTACTTGGACGGAAGATTCTATATGCATCATCCGTTCTAAACTATTAACCATTTTCCACCCTATTTGTATATTTAATTTGATTTTAAGTTTATAGCCAAGATTTTAATACCAGTGCAACTTGTGTTCCCATTCCCGATTCTAAAAATAGTTTACGGGCATCTAAATAATCCCCTATTTTTATAGAACGACCGACATACAAATTTATCTCAAATCACGTTTTAAAATAATATTGTTAATTTTGGGAAAGAAGGTCAGAGAATTAAAAAATATACGGCATTTAGCATATATAGTATAATCTCAAATCACAGTTTAAAAGTATGGTTTCTTAAACTTATTGTTAGTTTAGGAAAAAGTATGAATATAAACAAAAAGTTAACGCAATTAGCATCAAAAATTTAAATAAAAGAAACCAAGATAAAAAAAAGTGTTATCCTTCTTGACTTTAAAATTTTAAAACTAAAATCTTAATTAAGATAAAATATTTTTTTTACTATTTTAATCTAGTTCAACGATATGTTGGTTGATTAACTAGTTCATTTCAGTATTGTATTGATTAACAGTTTTTAAAATTCTTGTTAAAAAAACAGTTTTAAAAATTCCGTTCATAGTACAAAGTATCATGAGTTGTAGTAAATAAGCGAAAGAGATATCATGGTGGTGATTAAAACTTTCAGCTTGTTAGACGTTAGTTTTTATAAATGAAACAACTAACGTTCTTCATCAGTTTAAAAATTAGTAACAAGTAATGCCAACACGAAGCTGAACGTACAAAAGGCGTATTTTTTAAAAAATAGTTTTACGATTAATTAAACAAGCTGCAATATTTCAATTTCGATTCGTCGAGTACAATCTGATTCATCCAAAGGGAGATTCTGTTTATGATCACCTTTTCCAACTTATGTATTACCTTTTGCAACTAAATTATAAAACTACTGATTAAACGAAAATCACAAACTATATATCTATATATATATATATATATATTTCCTTGCCAACTATATTTGACTAATAAACCACTTTTGATTGCTCATTAGTCATTAATCACTTATTTAAGTAGCTTCTATGAATAATCCAGCTCCCACTCACCCATTTTGATCCAACAACTCAAATAACACCAAACTAAGTGTTAGATTCCATATTTCTATAATTTTATAGTCATAATTTTAATGAGAATTGCTTTATTTTATTGCTCTCGACTTAGTATGTGGTCCTGTGGACATGGCTTTAGCTGGGTAAGCCGAATTTTCTTGGTCGTAGCCGCACCGTTGCGTGCCGCAATGAAATGTTTGAGGAGTTTTGAATCACAGCTACTAATCTTTGATCGCTATTACGTTCGTTAATTTTTTCATGCAGTGTTTGACCAATAATGTTTAATCATTCACTGAGTTTTTAGAAGTTTCCTGAGATAACAATCAGTTTGTTATACGGAAGTTAATCTTCTTTTTTTCAACCTACAGGAAATTAAAGCCGTTGGATCGTAAATCAATAAGATTATATATATGTTAAAAAAAAACATCAGTCAGATTGTAAATTCAATATTTTTGTTTCGTAAATTGTTGAATCATACAGTATAATTGATTAGATGGGATAAAAGTGAGATGATTTTAAAAATGATTTAAAAGGTATTTTTTATATAAAAAGAAGAGGACAACTTCTTCAATGATTGCCACTCTTTTGATCGGCCCGCCCTTACACTAAATTATATGAGTTCTGCAAGTAGAAAACCCTACACATTATTTTGTTTCTATGAATTTAAGCTTAAAACAACTATTTACGTGCCTAAGCTTAAACTTAAATTATTTTCTTTATTCTTTTTTTTGTTGCCTTTAAATTCTCTTTAAATAGTTACATCTATTGGCTTATCATTAGACAAAACCAAGAAGCAATAACATTACATAATAACCTATGGCACCACAAAAATCTCTTACATTCTTATATAATATACGAGTAATACGACATACTATTTGATTTGTTATCAGCTTTTTGTTTTGGATGTTAAATTCTGATATTGGATAAAACAAACTTGTTGTCTTTATCATTTACTTTTTAAAGACACCATAAGGAAAGTTAGTTTGTCCATCATTCAAAGAATCTATCAAGTGGTTAAGGCAGATAAGAGATTATGAATGTGTTCATTTGTTTTTTCGTCTAATAAAGATTAATTAAAAAATAAGCTTTTTTTGTCATTTTATTCCCACGTGTTAACCAATTGAATCCACCAGTTTCTCTATGTACCATTAGATGCTTAGTGGCTTAGTGCTTGCTATATATTATAATCTCATGTTGGTTAACTGAACAGGAAATTATTGTCATGTAACCATTCATATATATAATTCGTATAATATGTTTTTTGAAACCTTTCATTATATTGTATCAAATCAACCCAATAGCTCCCTAATTCGTTTTGTATCTTACGCAATCAAATTGGAATATAGGTTATTAGCTTGAGATGTAATTTTCATTATATTTTTATCCCTTTGGAACTCTAAACCATTCTGAGAGATAACCCCAAAAAGATCCACAACAAAGAAACTACGATCAAAGTAACCACTATCGTAAAGTTATAATGCGTTTATTTTGTAAAGATTTATTTATAAAATTAAAAAAAGGATAATTCCTTTATTAAATATTAAGTACAAAGGTAGTAGTAACTCTAGGGCTCAATGCTGAGGTCAGAGGGCCATCCAAACTCCTCCAAGAATGATAATATAACCCCGTTTGACCATCCAAATCCCGTCTGCAATTTTTTGCAACAAAAGATTATGTCAACAAACTTTGGGAAAATGTCATTTAGCCCTGATTATTTCCGTTTGTGCAATTTAGACCCCTGAAACTCATTAGTAAAGAGAAACTGAAGAAGAAAGAGCTACAAGAATTTTTTTTTTTTTTTTTACCTGTGGCTTATATTCTCCACCACCACCATATTCACCAAACTTCGAAACATCGAGCTTCTCATGAATAGCCCCACTTGTCTTGTAAACACGATAGTTGCTTCTGATCCATCTCCTTGCAATCTCCTCCGCCATCTCTTTAGCTTCCTTTACGCCTGATCTCGCGAGACCTGTCACGATCAACTCTTGTTGCGGTGCCCATCCATTCGGATAATCCCTGTTAAACATTGAAACCAAATCTCAACATTCGAAATTGCTTCATCAAGTAATATAAAGATTCAAAAGTGGAAACTTGAACCACAAGTTACATTTTACCATTGTTGTCCTGAGTTTGTCAAAGAGGTTACGATTCCAGCAGGAGCGATGAGCCCTGAGTTTTCAAGAGCTTTCACAACTTTCTTGACCAGTTTTTCATCTACATGTCACAAGATAAAACGTTCATATACAAACATATGAAAACGTGTGCATATATACCAAGTATACATAGTTTACCTGAATTGAAGGAATGAATCCAGATTGGAGCAAAGTTAGATGCAAAAACATTGGTGTTCTGGTTCTCAGCTTTCCATGTCTCAGGCTCCTGAAGACACAAACACGCTCTCTCACTGTAATGAATACCATCAGAAATACCATATTATTGTAACTATAGATTTGCTAACTTACATCACCATTGGAGGACAACCAGTAGTCTAGCCACTGCCCTGCTTCTTCGTTCCAAAACACGGTTTCAAAGGCTTTCTTTCTCGCTTCTGACGCTTTCACAAAACGCTCTGAACCGTTTTTATCCCCAGAAACCTCCATCAGGAACGCTATATCGAGTTCCATCTGTACGGTAATTAAACAGATCACATTCAATGCTTATATGAAAGAGCATATATATTCGCGTTTTGTGCAAGAAGCGTAATTAAAAGAGAGTTACGATCAAGAAAGTGGAAACCTTGAAAAGAAAGACATTGAGATCAACAGGTACAACTGATGTTGTAGCCAACGTTGTGAAATTAGGAGGATCCCTGCATATACAAATGATTTTTTGGAGATTAAATTTAAGATGTCTATATATTCCTCAGTTCCACAATAGTAACATATATTAATCGCAGTTTATACAATTTTAATTTAACCTCATCCATCGCGTGCTGAAATCGCATCCTGATTCAGCAGCCGTGGCTATATCTCGATGGAACCGCTGTTTCTCTAGCGTACTCGAGAACCCCGAAGCGGATTCTTTATCCTGTGGTACACATAGAGACAGTGAGTTTACATTTTTTTCCAAAAACCAGTTTACTTGTCGGCACAGAGGCAAGAAACATACGAAAACAAAGGATTCAGGTCGTGGCATGTTCCACATGGCGTAATAACGGCTTAAAATGTGATCATAACCACCAGCGTCTCGGATGACCACCTTATGTTTTCCTACAAAGAGGATAACAGAACAAACATTAGATCTAAGAATTAGCAAAACCGTTATAAACTTATAACTAAGTAGCTAAAACTAACCTGAGTTCCAAAACTCGTACTCTTTGAGAAGCACAGGGATAGCTTCCTTCACAAGTTCCTCATCTTTTGTGACATTATAAATCTCATAGACCATTGAGCTCAACAGAGGTGGTTGGCTTGTAACATAAACATAATCGAAAGTGAACATAACGATTTGTTTTAGATTACAAAACTTTAATTTGTGTAAGAAAAAATCAACTTTCGTTTACCTTCGGTTGGTGTAATAAGCTCGGGCGCCGTTAAGAGCGTAACCATAAGTCTCCACAAGTGACATCAGATTTGTGACTAATCCTTTGGCCGTAGTGAGCATTTTACTCGTCATAAGTCCTCTGCACGTGCAAAAGCACACATAACGTGACATTACCACGTGAGCTAGTGTTTCGTAGTCAACACGTAATATAGAAAAGGAGAGTATTCAATTAAAATAATACATATGTTTGATTTTGTGATTTGAAAGTTGAAGAACACTGACTTGATGACCCAGTAAGAATCCCAGTAGTAGACTTCTCTGAATCTCGAACCGGGAATGATAACCGGTTCCGGCAACGGTAGAAGCGTGTGCCGTTCAGGAGACTCTCTCACGGAGTCAGCGACTCTGAAGCTAAGGATTCTCCACAGGCCGTGTACCTCACGCGCCCAGTTTCTGACTTGCTCGTTCTCCACGTTGAGGAGGAAACCGGAGGGATCTGAGACGAAATCCTCTGGTTCGTGGTGCACCAGATCCTTCCCTGGAGCGTCGAAGTATTCCTCGAGGAACTTTTCAAGCTTCTCGACTGGCACTGACAGGTCACGTGATCCGTTCGTGAGATCTTCGAACGCTGATTTGACGGTGGAGAGATCGTGTGGGAGCTTGAGAGAGAGATCAATGTGGTATTTTGGGTCAGGGGTTTTGTCTTTCGGGTAGGATAGGTTTGCCGTGAGCTGCACGCGCTGAAGGAAAGTGACGAGTGGGGTTGTTGGGACGACAGGACCCGAGTCCAATCTCAAGGCTGAGCCTGCCATGGAAGTAGCAAAAGACAAACAGAGGAGCAAAAGGAAGAAGAAGAAGAACATAGGAGTGAAACGTTTTCGCTTAAGGTGGGAAACAGAGAGAGGAAAAGAGAGGAAGAAGAATTTGTAAGGAGACGAAGAAGATAAGAAGAAGAGTGTAGAGATTGGATACTTGAGAGTTATTATGTTTGTGTGAATTCATTGCCAAATGTTTGAAATGTGACTAGGGTTTTTTTAGAATAACGCATACGAAAAGGGAAAGAGGGGGTTTAAATTAGAAATAAATACAGCTAAAACCTTGTGGCTGACTCGGATGGATCAGAACGAATTAGATTTTCTGATAAGCTTTGTTGGAAATTCGGATTCTTTCTCATAAAGAGGTCAATTACAATACGAACCTAACAGAACACAGGATTATTACTCAAAAATAGAACGTGACAAGTAGCAAAAAAATCAAAACTCACTGTTTTAAGAAGTAATCACGGGGAAAAAGTGACACGCTTAAAGAGTACAAAAGTTGGTGGGTGGCATTAATTATTAAAGATTGAGCTTTATAAGTTAAAACTTTCACATCAAAAAGAGGTTTACTTTTTACTTAATTAGAGGAAGCATGCCAAACCGTCCATTAGTTTGTCTTTTTTCACCATATAAATAAATGTTGAAATAATGTAACAATATTCTAATTTAAATGCGATTATGTAATCTTTCCCTAAAACCAAAAAAGAAATGATGATACACACCCAAAACACTCATTGTTGATTCAATATATTGCTTCTTTAGAAGTTGGAACGAGGAGATGCACTTTAAGAATCTATATTCAAGAAACTCAAAAGAACAAAACGTTTTGTTCTGGATCCGTAGTGAGATCCAAGGAAAATAGGGTTGAGAGCAACTCACATGGTCCTATAATACATTTAACACGACAAAGACGTTTTCGCTAGAATCTTCTCTACGTGGAAGAATCATTGGAATGAAAACAAATATTGAGCAATTTCAACTAAACACGCATTCACTCTGAAGCGTTGAATCCTTTTTACCAAATCAAATGCCATTTGGTTCTCAGCGAATGTAAGTGACAGATCTCTATTGGTTGCTATGAGATAATGAAACTCAAAGTGTCAATCCAAAAAAAATGTTCACAAAAACATCAAACATATGTATTCATTCAAACCCAAGAAGTATATAATCAAGAACACACAAATAGATATAAGCATTTGAGAATCAGAGCAAAATCAGAATCCAGAGTCTGACATTTACAATTCAAAAGATTTCAAATTTTTCCATAGCAAGAAGACATATTTTCAAACTAGGGGAGCTACGAAACCACACCATCGAATAGCAGAGGAAGCGAAACACGAGAGGATATAATTACCGGAGGTCAAAAGTCAAAACGCAGCTAAACGATGTCGTTTGGGTGAGGAGCGGCGGATAGAGCAAGAGGACGGTGATAGGACTCCTCGCCGTCGTCGTCTTCGTCGTCATGAGAGGTGGAGAGATTGACGCAGGCGCAGCGCTCGAGGGAGGCGAAGAAAGCGGAGATGACGGTGGCGCTGACCCAGCTCGCCGCCTGATCGATTTTCTCCATGGAAGTCGCGCTTACGTTGGAGGTGATAGAGGCGCTGGTGCTTATGCTCATGCTTTTTTCCATGGCCTCCCGATCGGATTTAGGTTTCTTCGAAGACGAAGATCGTGTTGTTGGGTAATTCGTTTGATACGATTTTGATTAGGGAGACCAAATTGGGATTACATATTTGGGTGATTCGAAATACATACGTACTTTATATAAATAATATATAAATATATGTAATGTCAAACAAGCGCATCTGGTGTAGTGGTATCATAGTACCCTCCCACGGTACTGACCAGGGTTCGATTCCCTGGATGCGCAATTTTTTATCTAAATATTTCACTATCTACAAAATTTATTTTACTAAACACTGTAGTTTAGGTAAAGAGTAAATGATATAATTTAGATTTTAATTTGAAAAGAAAAATACGAAACTAAATATAAAATCTGATTTTAAGATAAAAAAACAATAATTATAGAAACATGTTTTTGAGTGTTTATTAATGACGTTTTTGGTTAGTAATATATTATAGTTTTGATTATATATTTCTAAATTTTATTTTAGCAATAATTAATTTTTTAAAGTTCGAAATTTTTAGTTTAACTGATTCTTTTCTCTATAATATTTTTATTTAAAAAATTCAAAATATATTTACTTTATTTTTGCTTTAGTTTTTCATTTACTTTATTTATTTTTTGCTTTAGTTTCTCATTTGATTTGATTATTTCTTTCTTTAGTTTTTCACTTTCTTAAAAAAAACTATGAATTCATAAATAGATTAATTTAATTGTTTCATATATAATTAGTTTTAAAATTACTGTAAACTAGTTTACAATTTTAAATTTAGAATCTTAATTTAGGTCATCTAAAATCATATACTGTAAACTAGCTAGTTTTTAAGTTAAACAAATTAGTTTTATTTTTGGGGAAATGTTTTATATAAAACTATGCAATCATGTTATTTAAAACTAATCTTTTATTATTAAATAGGCCACCAATTATACAAATAATAAAAAATCGATCAGTTGAGGAGAAGTCACCATTATCATACCTTGCTACGCTTGGGAGCTGTATGATTTGGATCTTTTACGGATTACCATTGGTGAAGCCCTTGTAATGTCTTTTTTTTTTGGTAAGATTCAAGGGATTTAACTTCCCCTAAGTTTTATTGAATGAAATAGCCTATTACAAACGAATCAACCGAGGTCTTGAGGATCCGTGAGAATCCTCCGTCAAAATCGAAATCAAATTATCCGGAACAATATCAAAAGAATGAAAACTCCACGGCAGATTGAATGCATAGTTAGCTAACCCGTCCGCAAGACGGTTAGCTTCTCTATACACATGGTAAATACGGACTATCCAGTCCCTTGATAAAAAGCCATAGCACAACTGCACTAGGAAAGACAGAGGGTGACAATCACTGATCCCTGTCGTTAGAAACCCTACCACTATCTTCGAATCAACCTCCAGCTCCACCTGTATAGCTCTCCGCTCCCATGCTGTGTATAACCCATAGTACACACCCCATAGTTCCGCAACTGGAGCAGAACACACTCCAATATTAAGTGCAAAACCACCACACCAGTTACCCATCCCATCGCGTAAAACACCGCCTGCAGTAGCCAACCCCGGATTCCCGTGGGATGCCCCGTCTGTGTTAAGTTTGAACCAGCCGTCAGTGGGAAAGCTCCATGATATGTGCCGCTTTTCTCGTGTCACCCTTTCCTCGTAACCCTGAGTCTTCTCATGAGCCAGCATGACTTCTTTTGCAACAACTATAACAAACTGCGTCCGATTCCTGCATCTTCCTATTGTACCAAACACATTCCCACAACGCCATTTCCACCCCCACCATGTTGCCATCGCAAACAGAGACGCTCATGGACTCCCCTCCACCACTTTCGTGTTCCCCAGGTTGTCATAAAGCCATTCAATCAACGACATGCCAAAGAAGCAAGGTCTGTTGTTAATCAGAACAATCCGCCGCCAGATCCCTTCCATCGCAGGGCAGTCCCGGAGGACATGAATAATCGACTCTTCCCCACTCTTGCAAACCTGACAAATTCCCGTATCGCTCAGGTGTCTCCTCCATCGCTCCATGTTTGTTATTATGACCTGATGTACAACGAGCCATAGGAATATTCTCACTCTTTCTGGGACTATAGCCTGCCAAACCCGTGTAAACAACTTCTCCATACATGGTTTCGGTACCGCATCCTTTGTGAGGCATGAATAAGCTGATTTCACGGTAAACTCACCATTCTGGCTCCCCCCCAAGACAACCTATCTCGAGATCCTGTGACATCATCCACGATTACTCCTCACAGTCGCAGCAGAATAGCATTCGAAATGTATGGTGTAAGTTGTGTAAACTTCCAACCTCTTCCGTTCTCCCAAAGATCACGTACTTTCAAGTTCAACATCTCGACGGGTATTACTTCTTCTGCCCCCTCCATAAGTGGCTTATTTATTAGCCACTTATCTCCCCCAAAAATGAACCGTACGGCCATCTCCCACTATCCACTGTAAGTTCGGGAGCACCACTTCTTTCATTCCTATGATTAGGCTCCGCCATGTCGAGGACCAATTGCTCTTCTCTTTTAGCCACATTCCATCCTTCACATCAGTAACTTTGTACTTGTATCTTACTACTTGTGCCCATAGACTAGATTGATCATGAATTAGGCGCCACCCCAACTTTGCTAGTAGCGCCTTATTCATATCCTGAGCTTTGCGAATACCGAGCCCTACATCCTGTTTTGGGACACAAATTTTCTTCCAGGCCAACAAGTGTTGTTTCTTCTTCTCCACTGTACTACCCCACAAAAAGGACCGTGAGATCTTGTCCAATCTATTCAACGTAAAGCTCGGTAGGGCAATGGTGCTCATTGAGTGGATAGGAATAGATGACAATACCGCATTCGTTAGGGTAAGTCGCCCTGCAAAGCTCAATGACTTTTCCTTCCACCCCGAAAGTCGAGATGACACCCTTTCAAGTATCTCTCCAAATGTCTCTATGTTGATCCGCTTTTGTAATATATGCATTCCAAGGTATCTCCCCAAGTCTTTAGTCGACTGGATTCCACTTTCATCCGTAATCAACTTCTCCAGTGCTCTGTCAACATTCTTTGAGAAGAAGATCTTTAATTTTTCGAGACTCACTTTCTGTCCTGATGCAGCACAAAACCTTTCCAGCACCCTTCTGATGACTCGTACTTGTGTTACTGATGCCTCGGCGAACAAAATGAGATCGTCTGCAAAACAAATGTGCGACAGCAAAGGTCCTCCACGAGAGATCCTAATCGGCTTCCACTCCTTTGCATCTATCGAGTGCTCAATCATGTGGCAAAGCCTCTCCAGACACATAACAAACAAGTACAGCGAAAGAGGGTCCCCCTGCCTCAGACCCCTTCTTGGAGTAAATGGTGTCGTTTTCTCCCCATTCCACAGTAAGTTCATATTCGGACCAGTGACACAGCTCATTATCCAACCCACCCAAGTCTCCGGCAATCTTACTGCACGCAGCGTATCTTCGAGAAACTCCCATCTAACCCGATCATATGCTTTCTCTAAATCAAGCTTTAGGAGCATCCATCCTTTACGCCCCTTCTTTCTTCTTATTGAATGTACTACTTCTTGTACCACAACTATGTTGTCAGCACTCAGACGTCCTGGGATGAAGCTGGACTGAGCGGGTCCTATAAGCTTAGGTATCACTCGCTTCAGACGTATAACCATGACCTTCGTGATCACTTTAAACAGAACGTTGCACAAGCTAATTGGGCGGAACTGTTTTATCGACTCCGGCTTGAGAACCTTCGCAATCAGCACAACCATTGCGTTATTTGTTCCCCTCGGGAGGACTCCTGAGTTGAAAAACTCCATTACAAACCTCACCACCGAGGCTCCGACAACCTCCCAATTCTCTTGGTAGAATATTGGTTGGAACCCATCAGGTCCCGGTGCCTTATATTTACCCATGCTCCGGATCGCTTTCTCAACTTCCTCTGCTACGAACGGGCTATTTAGCTCTCTGAGCTCGTCTCTAGTAAGCTCTGCAAACCCATCTCGAGATAGTGACGGCACAACCTCTTCCGTGTCCTCAAGAGAGTATAGTTTTGCAAAGTAGTAAATAGCCAAATCCTCAAGCCCTTGAGTCACCCATCTTCCCTCATCATTTTTCAGTGCTTCAATTCTATTTCGGCTCCTTCATATCACCGTTAAAGTATGAAAGAACTTTGTATTTCTGTCTCCCAGCGCTATGTTCTTTTCCCTTGACTTTTGATACCAAAGGATTTCCTCCTGTTCTAGAACATTATCAAACTCCTGCAGTAATTCACCCTCCTTCACCAAGAGATCATCTGTTTGACTTACTTGAAGCATATCTTGTACCCCTTTTATCTCTGCCAGTAGCTTCTCCTTCTTTCTGTGGACATCTCCAAAAACTTCTTTGTTCCACTTTCTCAACGTCTCCTGTAATCTTCTCAAAGCTTCTGGCGTAGTTACTTCTCCATTCCAAGATATCACAAGAAGCTCCTTAAAGCCAGCGTGTTTCAACCAAGCCACTTCGAACCGAAATGGTCTTCTTCTCGGGTCTCCACGCATCTCCGGGTTTAGTTGAATATATAAGGGGGCATGATCAGAGGACAGAAACGGGAGATGAGTTACTGTAGCCTCCTGATACTTCAACCTCGTGCTGGCACAACATAATACTCTGTCCAGCCGCTTCGCTACATACGTGCTTTCTATACTTCCTCTCTTCCATGTAAAGCTGTTTTCCTTGAATCCCATGTCAATGAGCGATAAATCGTTCATCCATTCACCAAACGCGAGAGAGTCCGAGAGTCTTCCATTGCCCCCCGTTCTCTCATCTAACCAGACAATTGTATTAAAGTCTCCCCCTACAATCAGCGGTTCTGTAATATTCTGGATTACTTGTTTTAGCTGCCCCCATAGGTTACTCCTCCTACTCGCCGAAGGAGCTGCGTAGACTGCAATCCAGTGTACAACATCGACACCATTTTTTACTCGAGCATGAATAAACTGGTCCGACGAATCTAGAATTTCCACCTCCCCCATCTCAGATCTCCACAGGAGCTATAATCCTCCACTCTGACCCATCGCATCTACCCTAAAGGAATTATCAAAGCCAAGGCCTTGGCAAATCCTTCGAGCTCAGTCCCCTTCTGCATGAGTTTCAAACACCGCAAGCGTATCCGTCTTGAACCTTTTCAATATGTAGCGGATCGATCTTCTAAATGTGGCTTTATTTGCCCCCCGGCAATTCCATAACAAGCAGTTCGTCATCTCTGTACTCTTTATCACCAACTGACACTGAAACGCCGGGGCCCCCTGTTACGCGATAGCGCAAACCTCCGTCTCTGCCATCTGCGTAACCATAGCTGATTCCTTACTTTCACAAAACTCGCCCGACTACCCAGCCCCTGAGCCCTTACCATCGGGTGGTGAATCTCGAGTCTCTTCCCCACTCTCTCCACTGATAAGACCATTGACCCCCCCCCCCCCCCCCCCCCCCCCCCCCCCCCCCCCCGGTCTCCCCATTCGATTCTGCTCGACACGCATTCTCTTGCCTGACTCCGATAACTCGATCTCCCCTCGAGTTGGGCCATAGATAAGCCCACGTGTGGGCCTAACATTATGGGCTTTGGGTTTCTGTTTATTCCCCTTAGTAGGCCTGCTACTACCAGCCCGCTTTTCCACAACCCCGCCCACCAACACTTGTTGTTCTTTTCCGATATTCCCGCTAAAAACTACTTCTTGTCCCTTATCCAAATTCTTTCCTTTCTCATTATCCTTCCGAATATTCTCGGTGCTTCGATTTTCCTTACCCGTGGGTACAACTTGCCTTACTCTCGATCTCTCCGTATCTTCCCCGAGCATACTGAAACTGTTTGAGATCGTCAAATTTTCTACTTCCATATTCTGCGGGATCTCTTGAAGATTTCTTCCTAGATCACCAGCCGTACTCCCTTCCGGCGCTTTTACTAGATTCGTCGTCACTCCGGTTCTCCGTGATCTCCGAACTAGTGTAAAACCCTCTTTCGCTTGACTTAGACCACTAGATAGCTCCACTCTTCCGGTCTCTATCATTTCTGTGGGCCTTTCTGGGGTTACCATCGGGTACGATTGTATCCGGTGCCCATAAATCCCACAACTCGAACAGATGTCTAATAATCTTTCGTACTCAACAAAGTATCTATCTCCATTGATCGAGACCGTGCCCTTTAATGGTTTTGCTAAGTTTACCTCCACGCATACTCTCGCAAAGCGAGCTCTTTCAAAATTTTGCATAGTTTGATCAACTTTGACTGGTTTTCCTAACCCTTTTGCAATTCCCATGAGAATCGCACGATGGTAGAAATTCACCGGGATATTCAATAGGTGCACCCACACCGGTGTTGTAGTAATCACGTCTCTCAATGGATCAAAGTTTGGCGACCAAGCTTGCACCATTAGGTAACTGCCAAAGGCTCGCCAAGGTCCACCCGTGAGAGCCCTCATGTTGTCTTCTTCTCCAGCAAAACGGATCATGAAAAACTGCCTGGGTAAGTCAACGACAAACATGGCTTCGCTAGGTTTCCACATCTCTCTCAACTTCCTACTCATGACCGTTAACTCCATGTTTCGCCCTAGGGCTTTCACTATCATACACTGCTTCCATAAACCGTTCATCGTCTCCAAGACTTCCTGCTCAATCGTGATTTCTGGCTCACCATCCTCTCCGTTAGGGAACTCTATATGTAACCGCTTGGATACAAACCTATCGTCCAACACCAACTCTGGGTTTAGCATACCACCACTTCTCGTGCCCGTAACCTTTTGTAACCATGAAATCCTCTCATCTGGGGGGTCCGGCGGCCTTGTCCCGCTCCCAATCTCAGTCATCACCGCGTCCTGCCCCCCGCTCTCCAAAACCCTAGAATCGCTCATCGCCAACAATTTTGGTTAGCCCTTGCAATGTTTATAAGTGCAGTTGTTTGGATCAGCTACTCTTTACTACCTTTGGATCAATTTATGTTTGTGAATATTCTATTTTATTTTACATTTCATGCATCAAATTTTTAGAAAGGAAAAATAAATTGATTTAACTTTTTTTTTTTCAGATACACTTCGGATTATGCACGTATATGTCATATACTATCGCTCTACTCAGAAGATTCTTGCAGCGAGAGAGCTTGCTAGTGTAGTCTGGCTATGTCTGGGAGGTTATATATTATTAGGCGTTGCAAGTTTTATATTTCGAAATGTTACTAAAATATTTTGTTGAATATTTTTTGTTGTTCTCATGTTAGTGTTATATACTTTTAATATATTATACATCATATTCCGTTTAATATGTTATTTATCTATTAGATAAGTTATAGTTCAACTTATATAACCCGTGAATGAGGTTTGCGCCTTGTGCTATTCAACAAATGCTAAATTTGAATTCAGTTTAGGTTTTGTGCAGTTTTTCATAGAAATTTCAATGAATAAGCAAGAATGCGAATACAAACGCCTTTTCGATATGTTTCTCTAGATAAATGGTGTGGGGTTGCCATTCAAACGACCTACCTCATAATATACATCATGATTTGCAATCGCTCAAAGGAGCGTGTTGTGATCGTGGTGGTTGTTTGTGGGGTTGAGGTTTTGGTTGTGGCTGCATTTGCCTTCATAATCTTAACTCTCGTTGAGTCTACCATAATCTGAATGTTGTCGGTTGGACTCGTGTGCTACATCGTTAATATCTTAACGTATGCATATCCATTTTTCCTCCTCGTGGTAAGTTTGATCACTAGTTACTTAGTTAGGTTTCTTAATATAACCTAAGTAGATTGATATTTTTAAATTGCTAATCAAATTTGAATTTGAAAAACAGAGGAAAAAAGTATTAAAAACAAAAAGTTTGTTAATTCAGACTGAATAATATTAATTTTATATTACTTTTGGTTGTCGTTATTTCTAATTAGGTGATGTATAGTGTTGTTCTACGATCTTATCACCCATGCTCCAATTTTATGTTCAACCCTATCGCCGATAGATTCTTATATGTTTTTTATCATATGATTCCTATTCATGTACTTATTAATTAATAATAATCTATTGGGTTTATGTTGATGTAGGCGTAGTGTTGTTAGTGATGTTGCGGAAACCTCCGTTTTTACGAAAATCTCTAGATCTTAGCAAAGATCGCATTTTCAAAGGAAACCTGTATTTCGAATTATCAAGACTCTATTTTATTTATGAACAATAATGATATTTCTATCTATTCTACGATTATGTGAGATTGTAATCTATACTAAGGTCTCGAACGTTTGTCCTCCTCGCTTGCTTCTGTACTAACGAAAAAAACAAAAAGTGTGGAAGACATCTATATATGGAGGTTTTATAAAACCTCATGTGGACAAACAAATTACAATGGAAGTATCGGCAAAATAAAAAAGAAAGACTTTAGACGGAAAAATGTCCCCCAAAAAATGACTCAGCTAAATTATAAAATGTAACATTTGAGATGTTTTTAGATAATTGATCGTTAGTTGAATGCTAAATGATAATGCTATTGTGTGGAGTCTTTATGCCTTCTGCCTTTTAACTCATTTAGGCTATTTTCTTTGATTCTTGTTTACGTACAATTTTTTTTAAAAAAGAACAAAAAACATATTTGGAGTTAGTTTATAACTAAAATTTACTTCTAATCTCACTCTCCCACATACAGATTACAAGTTACAAACAAATGTTTTTTTTCTTACACCTTTGTTCCTTGCTTCTTACTCAACCGAAACCCAAGGACAATAAAAAACAAACCCTAAACAGTAAAAAAATTCAAAAAATTTATTTACAAGAGTCTGAATGAAAGTACCTCGGGTCACAATTCTCCGGTGCTCTCACAAGAGCTCCCGAGGTTCGTCGTTACATCATGAACCAGGAGCCGTACTATATTGGTACGGGATGATCTAGGGATCTCGAGACATTCTTGTAGATCCGCATCACAAGCTATCAGAACCCACTCGTTATCATCGTCAAGATACTTGATATCGAACGTACCTGCGTCAAGTTTCAGCCTCTTGGCGACTTCATCCTTCAGTTCCATTATACCCGAACCAGAGGATATCCTGAACCTTATTATGTCTTCTTTGTAACTCGCTTTGATGGTCACCGTTCTCATTTCTGACCCTGATGGTTCGCGTGTTATATTTGCAATGGCTTCTTCCTTTGGAGGAGCGTATATGTTGTTGTTGTTGCTGCTATTATCATTGTTCATCCAGTTTGAGTCCGGAAATTTATCCTCGAATGCTGTAGAGGAGCAGAGATTTCTAAGATCTTTTGAACTTCCGGCGTCTTCAATGGGCATTCCTCGGAAATGGTCTATGGCGCCAAGAAGCCTGTTAGGCATTGCAAATGACGCGGCGGATACATCGTGGTCTCTAGAATAAGGTGGAAAAAACAGCCCGGGCGATCCACCGACCGTGAATAGCGGGTCTTGGTTCGGGACCTTCGTTTCATCTAATTGGTTACCGTCACATGAGCCGTGAGAGGTCGGGGTCCCAGCGCTCTCATCAGCCGTTCTTGACCGCTTGTGACCGTTGCTTGGTAACTCAGGCGAACCATTTGGCTCGTGAGGACTGTGATCACTTGACCAGTGGTTAGGTGAATTGTTGGTGGTTGGTAGCTCTGGCGGTTTGGAACCGTTGGGTGAGTTTAGTGGCTGAGCTGCTGTTTGACCGTGTGTCCAAGGGATGGAACTAACGGCCATGGAAGTCAAGTCGAGGCCTCCATCAGTGCCTTGAACAGATTCAATGACGCGTTTCAGCTTTGTGATTGAGCGATTCACTTTCTTGATCTTCCTCGATGGCCACCGTGAGATTCCGTGTTGTCTGCAAATTCGCTTCATTGTCGTCGGGCAAACTGAGCCAAAAACAATATAAAGTTCAGATGAAACACTTTTAGCCAGAAACTAACCAAAAATATGAAAACTGTACATGGACATATGTATTACCTCCTAGACTCTTTGCAGCGTCTTTAAGACTTCCCGTGAAATACTGCTGAAGTACATCCAGACTGATTGTTTTCTCAGTCTTCCCACGTTTTTTCTCTGTTTTCTTCTTCTCTTTAACAACACCATTAACAGCAGCCCCGTTGCTTTTCTCGTTTACTGGATCAGACGACTGAACCGCATGCTGAGGAATCAACAGCGTCTCTGTTGCGTTTGACTTGAAACCAGAAAAGGGAACTCGAATGGATTCTATTTTTGAATGAATCTTCTTGTCAGGCAATGCTTGGATGATCTCAAAAGACAATTTGTCGTCATCTTCACCAAAGTCAACCCCAGATGCAACCCTTAGACTCTGAAAATGTTCTTTCATTGTCACAAGAAGAGAACCCAGCAGCGAATCTTGCTCTTGGTCGTCTGTCATGCTCGAGGGAAGAAAGAATTCAAGAATGTAACTGTCGTCGCCTGTGTAAGAGCTCTGGAGAGAGATCGCAAAACAAGTGGTTAACTTGAACATGAGCGCGTAATGAACAAGCGGGTACTGCGTTTTGCAGAACTTGGTGATGTCTCTGCAGAAACACGAGCCACCGTTGAGAAAAGCTCGTCCAGCTACCCCCTGCCCTTTCTGGAGATGGTGCTCAAGACAGGCATCTCTAAAGCCCCAGACATGAGCATCCACGACATAGCAGGCCATGTCGGTCGTGGACATGCAGACTTGGCCCATGCAGCTACCGTCAAAACTGGTGCAGTTTTTCTTTAGACCGCCACCGTTGGCAAGAACGCTCCCGTGCTGGCATGGAACCCAAGTCTGAGCCAGAGGCAAGTTATGGGTCTCACACACAACTGTCAGCACTTCCAGAATCTCAGCAAGTGCGTTTTGGCGACTCTCATTGCATATCTGCGGATACCAAGTTAACTGAAAACAGTGAGAAACCAGTGCCTAAAATGGCACTCATCAAATCAAAAAATGATACTTGTAGCTAACCTGAGTTGTTTGATGATCAAGAATTTCCGAGCTTTTCAGATTTACCGCCTGCCAGAATTACCAAATCTTGTTATCATTAATGAGGAGTTAGAAATATAAAGCCCTGTACAAAAACCCACTTCAAAGCTGCAACAAATCACAAAAGCAGAGAACTATCTGGATACAACATAATGACAGATATTGAAGAAGCCAGAGAACTATTTGAATACAACATAATGACAGAGGATAGAAGCCAACAAGACGCTGATGTGAACTGTTCTTTCTTGCTACCACTAGAGGCAATAATTGCAGCTTAAAAATCAAGTCCATTCACACGAAGTTCTTGGAATCAATTCAGATGAAGGACAAACAGAGCAAGTCTGAAGTATGAGCAGAAGTGAGGAAAGGGAACCAAACCTCAAGGGCTTTGCAAACTCTGTCCACTTCGGGTGCATAGTGAATCTTCTCTGAGGTCATGATAAGTTCCACAACACCTATGCAGGACTCGCCAGTCGGATTAAAGACGGGCAAGGCGAGTGTACCGCGCACGTTATAGTGCAAGGCGTGGTCAAGCCGCGAGAACTCTTTGCTGGAATAGTACTGAACATTTGGTGTCCATTCAGGCAGTTTCTGACGGAAAACCCGACCCGGGAGCCCGAGCTCTATGTCACTTTCACTATCCACAGAAAACATATACGTGAGAGAGATCATCCTGTATTGATTAAGCCCATTACCGTTAGGATTAAGAACAAAGGGTTGACCCAAGGTCGTCAGTAAATCACGACCGTTCTTTCTCACGGGAGCCCAGACCTGAGCCAAAACGTGTTGTTCGGTTGACTCTTTGAAGTACCGAAGCGCCTGAGTCATCCTCTCTTTGATCACACAGTAGTTGTCTGCGTTCTCTGGCGGGACAAGGCTCATCAACGGAGAAGGAAACTGGAAACTGTTGTGTTTCTCTGTTGCGTTTTCAGCCACTGATGGAGAAGAGTCTGCAATTTTTCAGAGACTTAACACTTTCAGATACTAAACATTTAGCGCAAAAAGACTTTGACATGAACAACAAATTCGTGCCTTCTAATTTTGTACAACTCATCTATTTTAGGCAATTTTATCAATTTAGTAAAAAAGGAACTCGAAAACATATCGATGTGATATATGTAGTAGCAATGAAGTCTAAATCACTAGACGCAGACAACCTATAAATGAATACGAGCTCAAGAATCCACGAGAATTTATAAGCACCAGAATTTGCAGAAAATAGAAAGAAAAACCACCTGAACAGAGACAAACAAAGTCAAACGCGAAATCAATCAATCAATCAACCAAAAATCTCTGTTCAATCCGTAAGCAGGTACTTAAAATTCAAGTTTAAAGCACTCAATTAGGATAACAAAATTCATAATCGCGTCTACGATCAAAGTTGTATCGAATTCTCCTAGAAACTCAAAACGAAAATGATGTGAAAGACATCGGAGAAGGGGCAAAAAAAGCTGAGAGTTCGGCGAGACTAACAAGGGAGAAAGAGAGGATAGTCAGCGAGACGGAAAGAAGGAACACCGGAGGCGGAGCTGATCTTCTCATCGTCGCCACCGGCGGTCGCGTGGTTAGTTCCTCCGCCGTCGGAGAAAGCCCAGAGAGGTGAGCAAGGCTGCTCGGAGGAAGATGAAACAAAAAGCGGAGATATCATGCGATTCGCTGAGGATAGGTAAGGGATTTGATCCAGCGGCCATGAACCGTCGAGATCCAAGTCATCAACATCCATCAGAATCTCCCTTGACCTCGAAGCTGGAGGAGTGACGCCGTTTCTGGCGGTATTATCATCGGGCTCGCACATTTTCTAGCACTTTCTGGAATTTTTTCCCGGGAAAGTTTTCGTCTGCAACTTCTCTTCGTTGATCTCTTTTCGATTTGGATAGAGATAGAGAAAGAGGACGAGAAAGGTCAAATTGGCAGAGTGTGATTCCATAATAATATCGCAGAATCAAAAAAAAAAAAAAAAAAAAAAAACCAATAAAACAATTTCGGATAATATATTGGAACCGATTCTCTGCTTCACAATACAACTGTGTCCCCCGATACATAAAATATTATTATTCCTCTAGATTTTTTTTTTAATATTCCTCGAGATTTTATTCACTAGAATTATTTTTGAGACCCTATGTACATAATTCATTTGGACAGGAAGAAAATAATAAAATAAAGTTGTCGAAAAAATAATACTCCAACGTATTAAACAAAATTCGGGTCTGCCTTCAGTAAATTAAGATATTTTTACTTCCAATAAATAAATAAAGTTTATCAGAAGTAATAAAGATATATACGTACAATTTGCAATTCCTTTTACTGCATTTTGGTCAAAAAGTAAAATTTATTACATCATCGTTAAAAAAAATTATTAGTCAAATATTATTACTATACTTAGTATTATTTAGCTTTTAAACAAAAAAAAGTATTATTTAGCTATGAAGCATTCTGTTCTGTCAAGTCCGACGGCTGCATTTAACGACACGTTCAGCATACTCGTGGTGGGAATGCACCAATCAAATGATAACTTCCTTTTTCCCTTAATTATTATAAAATCCGTTTTGGCTTTAAAAATTGTAAAGCTTTGAAATGCTTACGATAATAATAATACAGCGCAAAATAAAATTATTACGTAATGCCTTTTCGGGATTATTAATGGGAATTGAGAAGTGGAGAAAAGACAAATTTTGGGCCCACCTGATTCTTTTAGAATTAGTGCGATTCACTAGTTATTTGACGAATTTTTGTTTGCCACTTTTTTATGGATTAGTTCCATCAGTCTTATTATAATTTTTAAAAATACATCAACTTGCGTTTATTAGTATATATCGTGTTGTTTGTACCAAAACCTAAAATTTTAGTTTTTGTTATCAAGTATAAAAAATCACTGACCATGAAGATATTTATCCAAAATTCAAAAAACTTTGATTAAACAATAGTTATCACAAAATGATTAAAAAAACTAAGTATAAATGATTGGGGATCTGTTGTAGAATCTTTTGTCACTTGTAGTAAAATATTAATTTTAATAAATTAAAAGAAAGTTTCAACTTGATAAGAATGACAAGGTAGTTGACAAAATACTAAAATGACAAGGTGAATTACAGAATATATATAGGTGAATTACAAAATATATAGACTCTCGTATGAGTTTGTTTGTATTTTGTACCTCTCCTATCTTTAAATGGATTGGAACTAAATTTAAATTATATTTGTTTTGTGCCGAAATATTTTTCTGAGATTATGTTTAAGAATTTTTTTTTTTTTACTTTGGAATTTATATTAGATTAACAAGATCTTAATTATACAAAGTTAAAAGTCAAGCCTAACAAGGCAATATAACCTCAAAAGAAAATTACAGTACTAACTTCTCCACTAACAAAAAGTTAAAGGAAGGAAGAGTAAAATCAAACTGAGGATTTCACTTTCTCAGTCATAAAAATTTCATGTAACCACATCGGATGACCAGTGGCTACGTATGATTGAAACCTAAACTCCATAGTGATGCTTTGAGCGATGAGAAAGAATCCTCTATTTGATTCTCTAGATTCACATACAAATTTCCATCCATCAAACTTTGACAAAAAAATTTCTTACTTCTGATTCATAGTACCGAAAAGCAGGCCAAGCTTTTGGCCGTTCAATCGCACCCACCAGATATGATGCCTCCATAGCAAAAATCACATTTTTTAACTTGTGACTAGATATACTGTCAATAGCCCATTTTAAACCTAACAGTTTGGCTTCAATCAAACTTGGCGAAGCCCCAAAAGCACGCCTACTACGCATAAGAACCAATCCTTCATGATCACGTAAAACCCACGCACAACCAGTAATCCTGTTTTTCATGGACCAAGATAATCCGATATTACACTTAAGCCAACCCAAAGACGGTGTTCTCCAAAATGAAGAAAGCCTGTCAACAGCTCCGTACGCAACATTAACATCCCGAAGACCTCTTTCTTGAGCTAAAAACCAAAGATTAGCATCCTCTTCTATTTTACTGATAGATTGATTAGCCAAAAACTGAATCCCTTCAATCACAAGCTTATTCCTATTCTTCCACAAAATCCAAAGAATCCAAGGGTACATTCTTCGAATCTTCAAGGGAATCCTAATGTTCTTCTCCATCAAAAACAAATAATGAAAGTTTACATACAGAGAGGAAGGATGAAAACCTGACATTAGCATAGGGAAATCGGACAACGCCCAGACTTGTCTTGCCAAAGAACAAGTAAAAAGCACATGATTAGAGGACTCTCTTTCCATACCGCAAATTTGACATCTTGAATCTACTTTCATTCCACGAGAGGCTATCACATCCACCACCGGCAATACATCCGAAAGGGTTCTCCACAGAAAAACTCTGATTTTAGGAGATGTTTTAATCAGCCAAACTTTCTCCTTTAAACAGTTTAGAGAAGGTTGTGCAGAAGCATGCTTGAATATATCTACCTTGTTGGCTCTAAAGGCCATCTCGTAAGCTGATTTTACAGAGAAAAACCCACTACGCTCATGTTTCCAAATCCAAAAATCTTTTAGAGTAGTTATCGGATTAATGGTTAGAATTTTCTGAATATCCGCTGGAAAAAAACAGTTCCTGCAACACATCTCTATTCCAGCTATTTTTCTGAAAATCCAACAAAACATCAACCGTAAGATTTAAATCGATAAGAGAGTTTTTAACCCAAGGACACCTTCTCCCATTATCCTCAATCCACGGATCAATCCAAACTCTGACCGATGCTCCATTACCAATCATCTTCTTCAGGCCTTTCATAAGCAATTCTCTACCATGAATGATACTTCTCCAAGCGAAAGATGGACGAGTTTTTAGTCCAGCAGATAAAAATTCTTCACCTTCAAAGTATCGACTCTGTAACACACGTGCAAACAAAATATCTGGCTCCTGGAGGATCCTCCATGCTTGCTTAGCCAAGAGCGCTTGGTTGAAACTTTCAATATCCTTGAATCCGATACCCCCCAAACTCTTCGGCAAGCACATCTTCTCCCAACTGACCCAATGAACTTTCCTTTGATTCTCTTTAGAATTCCACCAGAAAGAAGCCATGACACTAATCAGGTTAGATATAATGGATTTCGGCAGCTTAAAACATGACATAGCATAGACGGGCATTGCCATAGCCACAACTTTCAGAAGAATTTCTTTTCCTCCCAAGGATAAAGTTCTCGCAAACCATCTAGATAATCGTGATTTGAGCCTTTCTTGAATATACGCCAAAAGATCAATTTTAGATCCACTGAAACATTCTGGTAATCCAAGATAGGTACCTGCTCCTCCTTCATTAACAATACCAAAAATATCCCGAATTCTTGACTTATGCTTATCTTCAATATTGGAACCAAAAGTAATTGAAGATTTATCAAGATTGATAACTTGCCATGTTGCCTCACCATAGATGTTAAGGATATTTTTTAGTGATAAACTTTGATCTTCCTCAGCCTTACAAAGAAAAAGGCTATCATCTGCAAATAATAGATGATGAATTCCATGCCCTTCCTCTGTAAATTTGATACCATTAATCAATCCCGCTACTGCAGCTCTATTCATCAAGTGAGAAAGCCCTTCAGTACACAGAACAAAGAGAAAAGGAGACAAATGATCACCTTGTCGAAGACCTCTCCCTGGATTAATCATTCCATGAGGCTGGTTATTAATTAAGACAGAATATGTCACCGTGGAAACACAAATCATAACCCAGTCAATCCACTTTTGATGAAAACCCAAAGCTTGTAAGAGAGACTTCAAAGAACCCCATTCCACCCTATCATAAGCTTTAGACATATCAGATTTTATAGCCATGAATTCCTTAGAAATAGTCGGATGTGTTCTCAGACCATGGACCATCTCATGAGCGATAATAATATTATTTGATATCAATCTCTCAGACACAAACACAGACTGAAAAGGAGAGACAATAGAAGGCATAATTGGTTGGAGTCTCTTTACTAAAATCTTGGAAATTATTTTGTAAAAGACAGAACACAAACTTATGGGTCTCAATTCAGTCATCTTCGATGCATTTGGAATCTTGGGAAGGAGGCACAAATGAGTGTAATTACACTCAATCGGGAGAATACCTGAGGAAAAGAAAAGCTGAACCTCCTCTATTACTTGCTGGCCAATAATATCCCAAAACTTTTGATAAAAGAGCCCTGTCATTCCATCGGCACCGGGCGCACTAGAAGATTTAATAGCAAAAACTGCTTCTTTGATCTCTTGAGGAGAAACATCTGCAATCATCTTTGTATTCATCTCTTCTGAAACTTTAGAGTCAAAACCCTGAAAGATCTCATGATAACTCCCTGGATTTGATGATGTAAACAATTCCGAGAAGTACTTAACAGCAAAATCACCTTTAGATGCTTCAGCTCTATGAATTTGGCCAACCCCATCAACAAGCATTTCCAGATTTTTTCTACTCCTATCCAAAATCACTGAAGCATGGAAAAACTTAGAGTTTCTGTCCCCAAGGAGTAACCAATTATCTCGACTTCTTTGGCTCCAAAAAGATTCTTCATCATTGTACGCCAACACTAACTCCTTTTTCAAAAAAGAAATCCTTTGAGAACTTGGGAACATTGAAGATTGTTCGGTTTCAAGGTTTTCCTGGCACAGATGAATATGATCTCTGAAATTCATATTATTCTCCCTTTTCCACTTACTGAGAGATTTTCTACAGCGCTTAATTCTTTCTGAAACAGAAGTAAACATCCACTGCGGAGAGCTATGCCAAGCTCTACAAAATGGCAGTTTTAACTTGAGGGTTATTCAAAAGCCTCTTATCAAATCTGAAACAACCCTTAAAAGCTTCTTGTGATGCTATCAAACTGACAAGAACGGGCCTATGATCTGATCCTCTTTTCTCCAAAAACTTTTGATTTGATGCTGGAAACTGTCTGAACCACTCCTTGTTGCCAAAAGATCTATCC